TATCCTTCAACCAGGTATTCTACATCCTTGATCGAATGCCCTGGCCGTTGCACTGAATGAGAGCGTACGTTTGGACTGACAGTTTGATCAACCAATCAGATATTGATTTGTAGCCAATGAGCGTATTCTTTCAGAGTTCCCCTCGGTTCCAGGGTATTCTAGAAGGCCCGCTAGTTAACTGGCTCGAGAGAGAGAGGATCTAGATGAATGCGACGAAGCAATTCATGCCGTTTTATTGTTTTTAACGTTGAAATGACAAGAGCAACAGGTGAAGATGAAGTTGTTAAGGAACTGTTGTGAGTACCCTTTTCAAGACGACAATTCAGTGAAAAGACATTATATATACTTTTCTAAATAACACACTGTTATTTACTCAACAATAACACACAATTATCCTTGTTTTTATTGATTCGTTTGATTCTATAATCTTGGGCTTTTTAGCATGCTTTTTTAGCAGTAAATAAAGTCACCGGAAACAGACGGGACATTTCGAGCGATACACACCACAAACCCACTGAACTGATTACCCAAGATCCTCAGCTTGAAGCTCGTTGATTGGATGTTTTAGCCGCAATACACGCTGGGATGTGTCTTTATTATATGCTACTGTATTGGTGCCGGTGCGTTAAGACCACCTGATTGATTCTAGAGGTAGTCCTTGAGGTCATATGTGTGCAAGAAACCTGGTCACGACCTCAATTAGACTTTGTCATTTCAGATTTAGCTGTAAAGTATATACTGATATACAACTGAACATCAGCAGAAGAGGACTCTTTAAAGTAGAGACACTACATACTGATATACACCGGAACATCAGCAGAAGAGGACTCTTTAAAGTAGAGACACTACATACTGATATACAACTGAACATCAGCAGAAGAGGACTCTTTAAAGTAGAGACACTACATACTGATATACACCTGAACATCAGCAGAAGAGGACTCTTTAAAGTAGAGACACTACTACTGATATACACCTGAACATCAGCAGGAGAGGACTCTTTAAAGTAGAGACACTACATACTGATATACACCTGAACATCAGCAGGAGAGGACTCTTTAAAGTAGAGACACTACATACTGATATACACCTGAACATCAGCAGGAGAGGACTCTTTAAAGTAGAGACACTACATACTGATATACACCTGAACATCAGCAGGAGAGGACTCTTTAAAGTAGAGACACTACATACTGATATACACCTGAACATCAGCAGGAGAGGACTCTTTAAAGTAGAGACACTACATACTGATATACAACTGAACATCAGCAGGAGAGGACTCTTTAAAGTAGAGACACTACATACTGATATACACCTGAACATCAGCAGGAGAGGACTCTTTAAAGTAGAGACACTACTGATGAAGCCATATCTAGGAGCTTATATTATTTAATAGTTATCCATTTATTTTATTGTTCTTTTTTGTTTATAGTAAATCTTCCTTTTAATTCTTATTTAAGTTGATCAAATAAGTTGTACCATGCCTCTGTTTTGTAAAGACGGCCTTTGGCACCGGGGGAGGGGAGACCGGCTCATTATAAATATGGGAAACAGGTGGTAGTGAGCGGCGCACCCGGTAGGCTTATGGTTTTTTACCATCGGGTAAGAAGGAAGAGAAAGGCTTGATGTGTTGACAATAAATTGCACTGAAACGACTTTTGCTCGGACCTTGATTTTTACCCATGCGTAAGATTCGCTGACGGGTGCCTCGGCGGCACTTTGCGTTATATTTCTTTCTTATATTTTTATGATTTTGGCCGCTATAACTACATACTGATATACACCTGAACATCAGCAGGAGAGGACTCTTTAAAGTAGAGACACTACATACTGATATACAACTGAACATCAGCAGGAGAGGACTCTTTAAAGTAGAGACACTACATACTGTTATACACCTGAACATCAGCAGGAGAGGACTCTTTAAAGTAGAGACACTACATACTGATATACAACTGAACATCAGCAGGAGAGGACTCTTTAAAGTAGAGACACTACATACTGTTATACACCTGAACATCAGCAGGAGAGGACTCTTTAAAGTAGAGACACTACATACTGATATACAACTGAACATCAGCAGGAGAGGACTCTTTAAAGTAGAGACACTACATACTGTTATACACCTGAACATCAGCAGGAGAGGACTCTTTAAAGTAGAGACACTACATACTGATATACACCTGAACATCAGCAGGAGAGGACTCTTTAAAGGAGAGACACTACATACTGATATACACCTGAACATCAGCAGGAGAGGACTCTTTAAAGCAGAGACACTACATACTGATATACACCTGAACATCAGCAGGAGAGGACTCTTTAAAGTAGAGACTCTACATACTGATATACACCTGAACATCAGCAGGAGAGGACTCTTTAAAGTAGAGACACTACATACTGATATACACCTGAACATCAGCAGGAGAGGACTCTTTAAAGTAGAGACACTACATACTGATATACACCTGAACATCAGCAGGAGAGGACTCTTTAAAGTAGAGACACTACATACTGATATACACCTGAACATCAGCAGGAGAGGACTCTTTAAAGTAGAGACACTACATACTGATATACACCTGAACATCAGCAGGAGAGGACTCTTTAAAGTAGAGACACTACATACTGATATACACCTGAACATCAGCAGGAGAGGACTCTTTAAAGTAGAGACACTACATACTGATACACACCTGAACATCAGCAGGAGAGGACTCTTTAAAGTAGAGACACTACATACTGATATACACCTGAATATCAGCAGGAGAGGACTCTTTAAAGTAGAGACACTACATACTGATATACACCTGAACATCAGCAGGAGAGGACTCTTTAAAGTAGAGACACTACATACTGATATACACCTGAACATCAGCAGGAGAGGACTCTTTAAAGTAGAGACACTACATACTGATTATACACCTGAACATCAACAGGAGAGGACTCTTTAAAGTAGAGACACTACATACTGATATACACCTGAACATCAGCAGGAGAGGACTCTTTAAAGTAGAGACACTACATACTGATATACACCTGAACATCAACAGGAGAGGACTCTTTAAAGTAGAGACACTACATACTGATATACACCTGAACATCAGCAGGAGAGGACTCTTTAAAGTAGAGACACTACATACTGATATACACCTGAACATCAGCAGAATAATTTGCTACCAAATGTATGTAAATATTGGTTGTACTGTAAATACACGCCACCAGATGGCAACAGTTACATGTGAAAAATGAGTATTTTATCATGTCCAGTTATTTTTATTTTATTTTTTAAAGCCATTTTCAGTCATTTCTCAGAGTAGGTCTGTAAACAATTGTAAAATGTCTTGTGTTGCTTTTGGTGGAGATCACAAATCTGTCAAAATGCACCCAAGTAGTCATAGTGATAACAATGACAAATCACATGACTCCTTTTATGTGAAAGTGAGAATTATCGCCACCTTCCCTCAGATGTTGTTTACCTCACTGTTGGTTTTATGGGCAGCTCTTTTAATGTTTGGTTCACTCTCACTGCTCTCATCATTAGCAGCTTTTTCAGACACATTCGGCAGCTGTTTCTAATTTAAAGGGGAAAGGAAACACCAATTACAGCTATAATATTCCGGTAGTTTATTCATTTTACAATGGATATTGATCGTAATATTTATTGTATATGATATTACTCGCCAAAAGAAAATTAATTATCCGCCGGCCGGGTGGGGAATTCCGGGACCAGGCCGCCGCCATTAGGGGAGTCCCAAATGGGGACGTCACTGGGTGGGTCTTCGCTCCGGGTATCCATACCGGAAGTCAACACAACGTAGCAGATATGGCAGCGATGGAGGAATTTTGCAATGAGATCGACGTTTTGAACGATGAATTTGACTATTCGTCGGGAGATGAGATTGATGTGGAAGCATCTACAGTTACCAGGCATCCCATGGCCTATGCTTATGAACCGATTCGGTCGAATACTAGAGTGGCATACGATCCGGAATCCGCCGAAAGTACCGATGGTTCTGAACTCGCCTAGTGGGATACCACCAGTTCCAGTACCGACTCGGTCTCAGAGGAAGAAGATGTTGCTCAAAACCCGGGACGAATGGACAACACAGATTGGTGTACATGTAACAATGGTGTGGTGATGCCATCGGAAAATGAATGTAGATGTTGCAGGGGAATTGGTATCGACCACATGCTCAATTCAGACGGGAATAATCTCCAGTGTATCATGGAACACCGACTGTTCCCTATGGTTTCCATCGAGAATGATATGTTGGTGATCGCAATGGTATCGCTACGAGACGTGCGTGCAGCAACCCTCGAACGACCAATAAATAGCGAGTAAGTGTAGGCCCTATTTAAAAATATATAATTGTTTTAAATTAAATGATTTGTATTTATATGTGTATCCTATTTATTTCAGCCTCTACAGACTAACAGCTTATCAGCAATTCACCATCTGGACTAGAGGTTTCCTTGGAAAAGGGAACAGAGTGCCGATACCTGCCTGTGTTGTGAATCGGATACGAAGTCACTACCCATCAGTAATCTACAAAGGATTTGAATATTCTGAAGGGATATGATGTGACCAATGATTCCATGCATGGAAGGCAAATCTTTGACAGTGAAATCGTGATATTTAGGCTAGCGAAGAAAATTCTACTTTGATAATGGAACCATTCATACAATGTTTGATATATCAGAACAGTATTTACAACTTATATTATCAAGCATATACATGTATCTCACTAGATTCTACAAATGTTTTTCAGTGCTCGATGTTCATAAAGTAATAAAGACCATTTTCCTGAACCAAACTATGTTTTTACCCTTCAAATAATAATATACAAATACTACCAGCATATATTACTTCAGCCATAGACGTCCTTTATTTATTTGCCACAGAGCCCCACAGGTTGACTAAGCTTCATACACCACAGACACATTGAGCCCCACAGGCTGACTTCATATATACGACAGACACATAGAGACCGACATTACTTGTTCACAAATCGACTTAGGTGGTGTGCCACAGCATCCTCCTTCGATGGTTTTACCAGGCCTTTATGCGCACCAAGCGTCCTTTTCTCCTTCTCTGCATCTGTATGACGGTGTTCTGCAAGTTCGGACCTCATGGACGATGCTGATAAACACCTCTCGACTACCCCTACCATGATGTCTCTTCGGAAGTTGTAGCTTTTTGGTGTCTTCATCGCCTTCACCACATATCCTCCAGCAGGCGTTGAGTACTGCAGTTTGAACTGCAGTGCCCCCTTCTTGGTCTGTGCCTGCTCACGGTCGATGTTGTGGTTGTGATCCAATGCGGCGAGGCGAAGGCGTGCCTGAAAGCTCTCCTCCGTGAACTTCTTGCGCTTTGGAACGTACTTTGTATACAAAGAATGGATGCTCTCCAGCTCGCCAGTATGGATCCCTTCTGTAGTTGGTGGATAATTCAAATACTGATATTAATTATGCATGTGTTTGTATTTTCTTTTTATTAAATATTTTCAATTTCATATTTTACTGTTTGTTCAGGGCTACATCCGTTGAATATATTCTCTTTAGATAAATATACTGCTTTGTGGTGAATTTATAAGGCCAGAATATATAAATGAAGAAGGGCAATTAAGACAATACCTTATCTAGTTTTTTCAACAGTCTCTTGTCCATGACCACTTTCTGTAGAGTGCCAAAGGCCTCGGATGAACGCTCCAACCAACGTCGGGAACTCCCATCCTCTTCAGAATAAGGCTCGTGTTCACACTTCAGCATCACTCGTGAACATTGATGATATGATGGAGGATGGATGTCCATTTCTCCTTCAGCAGTAACGCGTCACCATCACATGTACACACACAGTACCAAAGATGGTTGGATACCATGCGCACCCACTCCTTCAGCTCGGTATTCCTGCTCTGCAGCATCCGCTTCTTCACACCTTTCACAATGTGCCACAAGTCAAACTCATGCTTGATGGTCTTGTCACGTAGCATCTTCTGCACTGCAGGGTGGAAGTCTGTGACTAGTATGGAAATTGTCACATTGTGATCCTGAAAAGATATTTACCATAAATTTAATTTAATAAAGCCAACATCTTCAATTTCTATCACACGGGTTTTTCTATCACACGGGTTTGATATCAAGCATGGTGTACGTTCCAAACGTAACACAATGACCAGGGCTGTCACATCGCCCATCGCCTGACACAGTGACAACCTGATCGCCAGTTGCTGCCATCACTGCCTCATTATGCAAGTTCCAGACACTGGTAACTTCCGGCAGCACATACACTCTCTGGATGTTACAGCAGTGTCTTGTCGAGAGTGATTCCAGGCCCAGACACTGGCATATCTCAGAAAATGGGCCATAAGCATTTCCAGTCAGGAAAATCACGGCTGGCACTAACAGGTTGCAGGACATTGTGCCATTTAAGAGGGGTTGAGAAGTCCACACAAACTCATGGCCATCTATGCAGTCAGTTTTCACTGTCAGTCCAAAGCCTTTGGCTGAACAGTACGGCCTGCTGATCACACATTTTCCGCATACACAAAACAGCTTCATCGGTTGTGCATGGGATACCAGATATTTTTTGTCTGACACTGGATCTTCTCCGCCATCCACTGAATGTTCTCCATCATCCTCGCTGTCATTCTGTATAATGTCATCTTCAGTAGGGCTGTAGTCCGACGAAGAAGACTCAGTCCCTGGAATGCTCTCCCCAGAGCTGGAAGCATCTTCTTCAGGCATTGACACATCAGGTGTTGGACTCGGTGGTGCTTTGGCCATTGCATCTGCAGGTGCCAGTGTGGCGGATCCACCAGCAATGTCCCTGCTGACGCAATATGGATGATCATGACTGAGCAACTGACTGTTGTTGATGTCATCGGTCCCAGTCTGCACACTCACCAAAGTCACAGTTTTACACGGGCATGGTTCCAGTGGTTCCGTCTGTGTGGCCACAGTCACTGACTGCCCACGTTTAGTTGTGTGTGCCTCCAGTACCTGGGAATCATCACTTGCATCATCAGCACCTATGCAGGATGTATCTTCTGTCTGACAGGACAACAACCCTGCAGCAGTATGGACAGCTCGTTTGACCTGAAACAAAACAATATAAATATGTTACAGGTTAAGGTGAACTAGAAATATTCAAAATCATAACTATGATAAGTTGGCCGGAAAAATTCTCCCAATTCTCCATTGTACGTCATAATAATAGCTACCATTTAGTTTGGACGTGATTGCGTTAATTAATAAGGTCACACTGTGTCAGTAAATACATGTGTGAGCTAGTAATCTGGTAGTGCTGCAATATTTACCTCTCTCTCGGCAGCTGAAGCAACTCGTTTGGTGGCTCGAACTTCACGTTTGTTGACACTGTCATTGTCTTGCTCGGCCGACGTGCTGGGACGGTCGGTGTTCCCGACTGCATACGTTGAGAAATCGAATATTGTGGGAACAGATCCTGGCTTCAAATCCGATGTTTTGTATTGAACCAGGCATCCAGACTCATCAAACCTCATTTTGTGGACATAATCGTCATTTTTAAAGTGTTCGCTGCACACACGTGCGTAGTGATTCAGCGGCGGATCGGACCGTTTCATGGAAATAACCCATGCTTTGAGCAGCTTCTCATCCGTTAGTGGCAGCCTATGGAAATGTACTTCTTCCTTCTTCGTATAAAATCCATTTGTGCAGCCTGGGGCAATACAATAAACTCCTGACGACGACCGTTTTCTTTTAATGTAAACTACTGGTGCATTGCCCGCCATGTTGTTTGTTATTGAGCTTTGGCCCAGGAAGCCGTACCCACTCAGTGACGTCACTGGGAAAGTCCCGGAGCAATGGAAGCGCCCAAGGTCATTAGGCACGTATTTCAAAAAATAAATTTGCGTATCTCGATCGTTTACATTGGAAATAGACTAGATAAATACATTTCCTAATGGGAATATTGTCGCATGGAAAGCAGTTTGAAAAGTGTTTCCATTTCCCTTTAAAAAGAAGCTGCAAGAAGCCTCAAACAGCAGACATTGAAGGCTTCTCAATTATCTAATTTCCCCCCCTCGACTCCTATCCTCGTGTCTTAGTCCCGCCCACAGGAGATGCGAGCAGAGGAGCCGTGGAAGAACCATCAGTGGCACTTTCTCATTTCATCAAATCCCCCTCCTCGACTCCTTGACTCCTCGGTCCTCTTGACCCGGAAATTAATTTCAGCTCGCCATGTTGAAGGACATCTGATTGATTGATTGAAAAGTGTATTAACAGCTTGTATATTGGGTACAGTACAGTACAGCTCAAAACATACAATTGTTAAGGGGATGCAGACCAGAGAAAGACTTTCGTCTTGTTTACATCAGGGTCCCCCATTTCCAATTCATCATGTCATTTAAGACATATAAGACATATTTGACATACAGATGGCTTATTTACAATTTTCATTTTAGATTTCGTTCTAATACATCCTAACCGGACATTTAAGACATACCAAGTCTACAGATATACAGTTAGTAACAGAGTCTAAAATGCGAGTATATACATAGATGGGGGGGGGGGGAAGCTGTCCATTGAACGACAGGTTGAGATTTGTACCATTACCGGGGCCAGTTTTGCAATGCTCTCCCCCGAAGGTGCTCTTTAAGAGAGGGTTTGAAGGTAAGTATAGTTTTACTTTCCTTTACAGTTGTGGGAAGAGCGTTCCACCTTGATGTGGCATCATTGCGAAACGTGTATTCCCCCTTTTTTGTGCCAAATCTGGGTTTCACATGATTTGTGGAGCTCCCTCTGGTGTTATGATCATGGTATTCCTTTGGGAAGAATGTTGACATGTACATGGGTACCATAGAGGTGTAGTGGATCTTGTAGACCAGGCCCATTGCAAGTAGCTGTACTCTGTCGTCTACTCTAAGCCATCCTAGGTTGTCAAAGTGGGCAGAGGTGAGGTGGGTTCTAGATGAAAGGTCAAGCAGTAGTCTGACCAGTTTATTTTGCGATGTTTGAAGTTTTATTTTTAGCGCCTTGGAGGTGCTATGGTACCATGACGTGCAAGCATAGTCATAGTACCCTTGAATGAGTGCTCCTGCCAGAGTCTTCAGGGTGTTTTTGTTTACCAGAGGAGATCCGGTATAGGAATCTAGTTCTTTGATTGACTTTTTTTATTACATTGGATGCCATTTTGTCACAGGAGAGGTTTGCCTCAAGAATAGATCCTAGGTATGTAATTTCCTTCTTACTTGTGACAATAATGTCGCCCACTGCCACTGAGAAGTCGTCGGATTTGCTGAGATTATGTTTCGAACCGAAGAGAATGGACTCTGTTTTACCCAGGTGTAATGATAATTTATTATCGGCGAGCCAGATGCAGATTCTGCTGAGCTCGGAGCTGAGGGTTTTTTCAACCTGCAACCTGTTCCTGTCAGAGACCAGCAGGGCTGAGTCGTCCGCGAACAGGAACAAGTTGCAGTCACATGCTGATGACATGTCATTTACATAAATTAGGAACAGTAACGGACCTAATATGCTTCCTTGTGGAACACCACAGCTCACTGGGAGGGGGGGGGGACAGAGTACCATTTACCTCCACCATCTGTTCTCTCCCCTCCAGGTAGGATTGCATCCAGCTCACCGATAGTTTATCAAAACCAATTGCTTTTAGCTTGTCAATCAGAATGGGGTGATTGACAGTGTCGAAAGCCTTTTGTAGGTCCAGCATCACCATGCCGCAGTACTTGCCCTCGTCCACCTCTTGTTTGATGTGGTCGCTCAAATAAAGAAGGCATGTGTCAGTGGAGTGGGATGTTCTAAAGCCAGATTGAAATTCATAGATTAGTTTCTTTTCCGCGAGGTACTTTTCGACCTGTTCATATTATTTTTTCCATTACTTTCGAGATGGAGGTAAGTATAGAAACAGGGCGGTAGTTGCCTGGGTCCAATTTGCTGCCCTTTTTGTGCAGGGGGGTTACTCTTGCAATTTTGAAGTCTTTGGGTACTTTTCCCTGTTTTATGGAGAGGTTAATTATGTGAGCTATGACTGGTGAGATGGCGGTTGCTGTGTCTCTGAGGAATTTGGAGGGGATATTGTCGTGGCCAGTGGCCTTGTTAGGTTGGAGGGCGCTCAGTTTAATGAGTACCTCTGCTGTTGTTACCCTTGCTAGACTGAAATCATCTTTGCGTACCCCTAGGTTTTTGTAGTAGGTCATGATGTGATCTACTCCAAAAAGCCCCGAGTGGGAGGGTAATTTATTTACAAGAGTTGTGGCTATGTTTGTGAAAAAAATGTTCAAGTACTTGGCCACATCCAGTTTGTCTGTGATGAGCCTGTTATCTGTCTTTATGTTTCAGTTAGAAAATCTCGTTTTGAGTTTTTTACTGCAGCCAAGCTGGTTATTGAGTAATTTCCAAAGTTCACGGGGTTTCTTTTTGTTTTCCTCAGTTTTGACATTGATGAAATTCTTGTTGGCAGTTTTGATCATGGAGCTTACGTAATTTCTTAGTCTGTTTCTTTCAATTTTGAGTTCAGTCACGTGGGCCTGGAGTTCACTGCTCGTGCTTTTGGAAAGCATTGACTGACTTTTATGAAACTCAGAGCATTTTTTGTCTCTGGTTTTCATGGCGGTCAGTATGCCGGAGTGCATCCACGGCTCAGCGCGATGTGTTACCCTGGTTGTTCTTAGGGGGGCCAAATCATTGAGTATTGCAGAGAATTTGTTTTTGAAACCAAGCCATGTTTCTTCAACTTGTGTACCACTGAGCTCCTCTGACCAGTCCAGGCTCTCCAGTTCTAGGTTAAAGGCCTCGCTAGAGTAGTTTTTGAGGTCTCTAGATATGACTGTTTTGTGACAGCCGGCCCTTTGTTTTAGCTTTTTGCGGGTACAGAATATCATATAATGATCACTTAACCCGCATGCTATAACCCCTTTACTGGAGATCCTGGACTTGTCAGAGGTCAGAATGAGATCAATGGTAGTTTGTGTTGTTTCACATACCCGGGTGGGTTGGGTGATTAGCTGGCTGAAGCCGTGCAGATCACAAATCCTACTGAAGGACTTGAAGACGGACGTGTCTTTACGTTGCATATACGTGTTCCAGTCTCCAATAATAATTGTCTCTACATCCCCCACATCAGCCAAACACCCATCTAATGTATCATACAAGTCACTCTGTTCCGGTGGTCTATAGATTGTCCCGACTATTACAGATTTAGCATTGTCAAAAAGAATTTCAACCCACACAGATTCAATATTTTCATGATGCAGGTCAGTTCGGTTTTTGAAATTGGTGTCTTTATGTATGTACATGCAGACACCACCTCCATTCACGTTCCTGTCCCTTCTCACTACAAGATAATCTTCAATTTCAATCTCTGAATCTGTAATGGAATTGTCCAATTTGGTCTCAGAAAAGCATAATATGCTTGCCTTACCGTTCATGAATAGCTGCCTGAGTTCAGCCAGTTTGTGTCTCAGGCTGTTAGTGTTCAGATGAAAAATATGTAGTCCATTTTTGTTGCTTAAATGCACAATGTCGTCAGCTTGCAGATATTTGTCTTTGTCCGTTACAGCAACCGGCTTGTCGTGGTGGGGTGGGGGTGGGGGTGGGGGTGGGGGTGGGGGTGGGGAGGAGGCTCCGTTGTAGCTTTAGCCGTTGATATGCTAGCATAGTGGCTAACAACATGGCGGATATTTGTTCCCTCGGATCTCGGTTCTCTTCCTCTCGTCACTGCCTCATGCGTGTCTGTCTGCCGAGGCGTCCCCGGGGGAATCTCGAAGTCTCCGTGTATTCCTTGGTCTCCGCTGTCTCCACGGTCTCTGATGTCGTCGCGTAGTTGTTGTTGCAGCGGAAGAGATGCTAGTTCTGATGCTAATTGAGATGCTAGCTCCTCGAGCCTGCAGGACTGGCTTCTTGTCTGCACCGGGCCCGGATTCAGATGGATGTCTCCCGCTAACAATAAGACCAAGACGATCATACTTCTTCGGTCTAGTTTGCCTGACGGGGGTAAGTACTTTCGCGTCGGGTTTGCAGTTAATAATGCATGAATGCTTGCACTTCCAAAAGCGAGGTGTTTCCTTTCCCAGCCGTTGAGAAGGTAAAAGTCATTGTGGTTCATTTTATCCCCGCTTTCATTACTCTCCTTCTCTAAGTGATGTTGCCTCATTGATGAGTTGAGGTAGGAGTCCATAATCCATATTGTCAGGAGGATGAAATATGTAAAAAATCGTGAGGAATAACCGCCAAAGCGGGAGCTCTCGAAAAAAATGCGACCACTCATAGTGAAACCGGATGTTGTCTATCTCATTTCTCTAAATGCACTTCGAGGATCGAGCATCGAGGAGGCTCTCTGGAGGAGCTATAACCGAGGAGAGAGGAGAGAGGAGGCTCTCTGGAGGAGCTCTAACCGAGGAGACACTGATGGGTCCTCCACGGCTCCTTCGTGGATGCATTTCCGGGAACAGAGATGTTTCAAAGAGTCGTGACGGACGGCCAGACTTATCTCAGCCAATGACAGCTCTGCATTAGTGATGGGCATTCCGGCTCTTCTTGGTGAGCCGGATCATTTGGCTCGGCTCACCAAGAAGAGCCGGCTCTTTCGGCTCCCAAACGGCTCTTCAGTTTACCACATATTATACCTTTTAATTCAATCAAATGTAGCCCTGTTTTGACCAATGATTTATATGTGTACACATATATCACTTAAATTATTCAATACATCCTTTGTACTGAAGTATTCTAAAGTAAAAATTACATGTTTAATATAAATGATTTGCTGTGGCCAATTGTTTTCATTGCATTTACAGACCCGTGTAACGGCCCGTCTACACTACAGGCGTCAAAAAATGCTTTCAACGCTTCGCTCATTCATTTGAATGGGGTGACGTA